AAGCAATATTTCAATGAGATAACATATTTGAGTTCTGTCTCTTATACACATCTAGATGTGTATAAGAGACAGATATAATATTCTTTTATTATTACTTTCTATAACTTTTTTTTACTTTCCCAACAGTTTACCTTCAGCATTGACCGCAAATAAATAAGAAAGAAAAACTCTTTGCGAAAACCTTCAAATAATCCATTTACAACCTTTCTATCAGCTGAGTCTCTAAAGGGTTACCACTTTTCCACTGCATACACTTCATATAATTGAACACACTCACACAAGCACGCAGCAAACATATTTCAGCCATTTTTTTTCCTTCGCTTTCCACTGGTGGACACCTTTTTAATCTTCACGCATCATTTATCATCACATTCACTATATTATTTGGGCTCCACAGGCGTATATGTGTTGATTAATATGAGCGTCTGCCGTCTGGCAATGGCAATAAAGAGCAAAAACAGTTAACTCAATGACAATCAGTCATCGAACGCTTATCTCGTCCAGTCAGTCGACCCAATTACAACGCATCAATTGAAATCTACGACTTCGCCACCTTTTATATCAACACTGAACCGTTATRCGCTGATAATTTAAAGGTCGGTTTAAGTTCTTTGTGAGTTTTTGCCTAATTCAAGCTCAGGCGTTGTTGATAAACGYTTAATTTTGGTGTACAAAGCACAAAGCAAGGGTAGGATATCAAAAGGAAAATGTGGTCAATTCATTGGTGACTGATTACTATTTCATGCATTTAAGTCATTTTACTTTTTCGGGAAAATAATAACTTTTGAAATGCATACATCGGTGCCAATAACTCAAATATGTTATCTCATTGAAATATTGCTTTCGTTTTCTATGGTTTGACTAATAAAGTATGATGTTACCTTAGTAGGTTAGGTTAGGTTAGCTTARTCTGGTATGCGAATAAGCCACACACAGCCCAGTTTTGGTTCTTTGCGATACCCGATGGAGTTCAGTTACTAGGTCCATTTGGAGTAGTCATCCACTTGACGCGAATTTAAAGAAAATCTGTGCTCTCACTATCGATACCTCCTTCATTGATCATACCGCGGGGATGCCAGATGCTTACAGCGGAGTCTTGAAAAAGCTGGACAAGTGCTCTTGACTTTTCCCGCAGTCCTCTCGAACTGTCAGAACGTTATCATAGAACATAGCTTTAATATTATCGTAAAACATAGTTTGTGCTTGCTTTTTATATTGTAGCCTATTCAGATAGCATACTCCTGAGTCGCAGTCCTCGAGATTCCGCATATTCCCTCTTCTTCTGGAACAACCAATTTTTCTGCTGATAATTTTACATCCCAAAATTTGTGCAAACTGTGTCTTTCACACGATGATACTGCCAGGGCTATGTGTGGTATCAAGCCTTCCTTCAACTTAATTGGCTGCCGTCTGCACTTATAAAAAATTATCCTCCCTTGTTTATCCTCTGATGCTTTTCCTCAATAAGTCGCTGTCTGTAATTTTATTTCCGGCTGGAAATTAATATTCACTGCCCCTAACCTTAAAGGTTGTAGCAAGTATGTGATCTCCGAAATTTGTGTGTGTTCTGTGAGAAATAAGTTATTTTTTTGCAGTAAAATCTATCATTAACGACAATCAGCATGGGTTTGTCTCTGGTCGCTCTACTGTATCAAGTGGAGCGGTTTTTAGTGATTATAGCATGTCTGCCTGTTCCGCTGGATTTCAAGTAGATTTTGTTTATGCACATTTCTCTAAAGCATTTGATCACGTTTCACATAATATTCTAATTAAAAAAGTATCATCTTTGGGCTTTCACTCTGTCTTCTTGCAGTGGATTAAGTCATATTTGCACAATGAACGTTGTGTTGTTATTGTCGATGATAGGTTATCATGTGTGGACATCTGCTGTTGTTTCACTTCTGCTAAATTTTTCCTATATAACTTAAAAATATTTACAATAATCAAAAACTCCAGTGTTGTAATTATACATCAATGTGCTATTGATAGTTTTTTGATAGGTGTTTAAAATCCCAGCTTTTTTCTGAATTTATATAAATGTTCTAAAATCTCGTATATGAGGGACGAAGCATCTAACCTTACTGTTACAACATTTCAAATTGCCTCCTAAAATTAACTAAAGTAAAGATCTTGGGATAATCTTTGACAATAGATTTTCCTTCAATAATCACATTAATTATATCACGCCTAAATCATTTTCCGTGCTTGGCTGTGTCCGTCGAATAGCTTCATCATCTTTTATTCGTTCTATCTTGGCGTATTCTGTGTTCATCTGGAGACCATATTGCTTATCGGCAATTAATGCGATTGAATGCGTTTAAAAGATTTTTTCATAAATTTTGTTGACCCTATACCAACCAATGCATCTCGTTCATTGCTATTGCACCTTAAATCACTTGAAAATAGGCGATCCGTTCCCTGCCATTCTTGTTTTTCAATGTAATTAATGGCGGTATTGACTGTCCCTATTTGCGAGGAAAAATTATTTTCAAAACTTCTCAGCGTTGGCGCAGATCTATCTTCCCATATTCTTAAGAAAGAAAACTAAATTTGCGGTTTATGCCGCTCTCAAGCGTGCTGCGCGTCAGTTTAACACAATTTCCGAAAAGATTCCACTTGGTTCTTCTCTTTTTAGGGCTTATTTTATAAACAGCCTTAACTCTATTTTTTAGTTAAGTTATATATTTGTTTAATTGTAATTTTATTATTTTAGATTTCCAATTTAAATCACAATTTTCTGATAGAATATAGGCTTAAGTAACGAAATAAATTATATGAAATGGCTTAAATGCAACCCTGAGGACGAACGCGATAGGACAGTATATCAAAACGAAAGGTGGTGGGAACTGATCTTTTGGATCTTTGGGACTATGATCTACGTCGATTACCTAGAGAAGGGAACGCAATATCAAAAAACCTACTATGTCGAATTATTGGGCCTATTTGACACAGATTTGCAAAAAGCCGCCTCTTTTGCCGCTGAAAAAAAAATTCTTTCGCCCTCTTTTGTCACCTTGACATACGTATTCTTAAGATTTGCTGCTCTACGATTTTATATATACTCTCGCAACAAAGTTGCTAAAGAGAGTATTATAGTTTTGTTCACATAACGGTTGTTTGTAAGTCCTAAAACTAAAAGAGTCAGATATAGGGTTATATATACAAAAGTGATCAGGGTGACGAGTAGAGTTGAAATCCGGATGTCTGTCTGTCCGTCCTTGCAAGCTGTAACTTGAGTAAAAATTGAGATATCATGATGAAACTTGGTACACGTATTTCTTGGCTCTATAAGTTTTTAAGTTAAGTTCGAAGATGGGCAAAATCGGCCCACTGCCACGCCCACAAAATGGCGAAAACCGAAAACCTATAAAGTGTCATAACTAAGCCACAAATAAAGCTATTAAAATGAAATTTGGCACAAAGGATCGCATTAGGGCTGTCTCTTATACACATCTAGATGTGTATAAGAGACAGTCCATATACAGTTCAAAAATGGAAGAAATCGGATAATAACCACGCCCACCTCCTATACAAAGGTTATGTTGAAAATCACTAAAAGTGCGTTAACCGACTAACAAACAACGTCAGAAACGCTAAATTTTTCGGAAGAAATGCCTGAAGGAAGCTGCACGCAGGCTTTTTTTAAAAATTTAAAATGGGCGTGGCGTCGCCCACTTATGGACCAAAAACCATATACTCGACCGATTTCAATGAAATTCGGTACACAATAGTTTCTTAACACCATGATAACATGTACGAAATATGGGTGAAATCGGTTCACAACCACGCCTTCTTCCAACATAACGCTATTTTGAATTCCATCTGACGCCTTCTCTGTATAATATATATATTAGGAACCAATGATGATAGCGGAATAAAACTTTACCCTGAGTCGAGCGTATAGCGCTAAAAGGATACTAACTTGAGAAATAAATCACCATTTTAGTAAACTAAAGAAACTTAAAAATTTACTCAGCGCGATTTGACGTTTGAGTCGCATCAGAAGCCCAGCGTTACCATGAAAGCCAATTAAGTAATTTATATAAAAATATTTTTCAGATAAATCCAATAAGTTGGATCAGCATAGGGTGAAGTTTTCGATATAAAAGAGTACCTGCAGTGTATACAACCTCCATTCTTATAAAATAGAGTTTTCATCTGTGGGCTAGTTGTTGTTTACGAACCACCCTCAAATAAGGGATAATAGTTAAAAATTGATGATAATGAGAATATTGAGCACAATCGTTGTTGCATTAGCTGTAATTGAAATAACTGAACCAAACTGTTGTCGGTCGTCTGAATTGACCATTCTAAGCTCCATATTATAAATTCCCTTACAATAATTATCAAATTGATTTAGATTTTTTGGAATTTCTAGCAACAAAATAACAGCATAACTTCATTTGAAAACTGTTTTTCTAAACTAAAATTTCAAAAATATAAATTTGAGCAACTGAACGAATTATTTCGCAATTGTTTTCCATTCATTTCTACACACAACTTTCCAAAAACTGTAGGAATTCAAGCACGCGCATGTGAACTTTACACCACACATTCATTTTTCCACACAATTAGCTAACGTAATGAGTTTTTTTTGATTTTTTTTTTTTTTTTTGGTTTTTTGAAAAATTAGGCAACTGCACGCGTGAAATTGCTGCAAAACACGCACACATAAACAAAAAACAGTCTTACTCACACGCCAACAGTTGCAAAATGACTGCAAATAAACGCCATTTTTGAAAATTTTATATACCGCACTAACACACATCCGCATATATAATATATATATATTTACTTGCTTACCAGGCCGCCGTCGGCTGTTTGTGGCGTCGATAAATTTCGAAAACGTGCCACTGCACGAGGCGTGTTCAGATCAATCGCTGCCGCCGAACCGCCGGCGAAAATGTCAGCACCACCGCACCCACAATCAGCCGGCGGCGTTGCGTTTCACATACATACAAAGATAATATGTGTAAGCGTTGTTTTTGCACTTGCATGCCACACGTACGSCTGCCTATTCGCCGTAATAAATTGCCACATTCGGGTGTGTTGTTATTCATCGACACATATATTCGCACATATATATACTTATATGGTAAGTGTCTCTTCACTTGAACATGTAGGCGTATACATGCGAGTGCCTGTGTAGCGTTCGATTCGCTTTTATTTCAGCAGTTTCTAATGTCAATATTTTTTGGCAACTTTGCTAACTTGTAATGCCAATAGATTGATTTGTTTGAATGCCAAAGCAGATACACCATCATGTGTAAAATAAACATTAACCGACTGCTGCTATTAAAATTCATTTACTGCCACCGCAATGGTTATTGAAATAAGCTAATTTTGCGTTGTGAAACTGATAGCAACAAATGCGGAGGCGCCGAGTTTAGAAGGAATCCACTTATTAATGATTTCTATGGCGAATAGATTTTAGGGTTTATTTGCGATGTTTATGTGTGTCAATTTGTATGAAAATTATAAGGTTGCTAAGAATAACTCTTATTCAGTTTGATCTAAAGGACAAGCCTTGGAGTGGTACAAAGCCTTCAAAGATGGTCAAGTGGTCTTTGCAGATATGTCTCGTTCTAAAAATATTAAAAAATTTAAGGATATGGTGCTTGAAAATTGTCAAATAAGTGTTAGAGAGTTGGCAAGAAGCTGGACATACCACGCGAGTGCGTTCAATTTCTTTGGGTTCGACTTGTTCCGTTAAATTTAACTTTTTTCAAAGAACATACGAAAAAATACCTTTGAAAAGTGTTTCGAGAACTAGAAAAATYTTTGGCATAACTTTTTCGATTGCCTGACATCGTATGTTTAGATTAAGTGGCGCAGTCTAAAGGAGCAAGTCAAATACTCCTGAGAAYGACGTATAAAAATTATTTGAGATTACATTGGTCATCTTCCACGTCATACATAGATCCTATTGGTATTTTTATTATCAGATGGATTCTCAATTTAACTTTAACTGAAGTATTCGTCATACCGTTGTGCTTTCTGTGAACTTTAAGATACAYCTTATATATAATTTTGATAYTTCATCTAGTCTCTTRAACTGCGAAGCTCYTAAATATCTAAAACGAATTCCAGATAAGGCTGAACAGAAGCAGAATTGGTATTCCAGCGTCTTTGTCATGCCTATTTCTCTGTACTTTCTGCATGAATCATTGTTACTCATACCCAACCCGCTTAAATGTGATACCAATAAGTTGTGATATGTCATTAGGCCAACAAATGTCCTACAGTCTTTTCCAGATCATTTAATCTTT